ACCAGTAGTTCCATTATGAAAGAGAGATGGGCTTGAGCAGTTGGGCTTTATCTTTCTGACAGTCTAAATCTGAGTCTGTGATAATCTGTGTGCTGGGTTTTTTAAAATTTGTACCAGGAAGCTGGGCTGGATGGGGGCTGGGGAAGATTCTAGGTAGAAGCTCCGCAATAAGCCAAGAGAGACAGGATGATAGTGGTGCCCCAGCGCTGCTCGAGTTAAGATTGCGTCATGACATCCGTTTCAAGGTGGACCTTGACGGATTTCTAAGTCCTCTGAAAGCGACGCACTTAGTCCTGTTTCTTTACAATTTGGTGTCTCAGGCAGAAGGAGGGTAGAGTTTGTGACCCAAATAGGGGTTATTGGAGCCAGGGGTTCCAGAGATATGATCTCTGAAAAAAATTGCCATTTTAGAAAAAGTTTCTAGGTGCTTTTTGTGGCAGTGGTGTGGTTTGGTTTGGTTTGGTTTTTTTGCCCAGAGCTAGAGATCAGACTGTTGACGTAATGTGAGTCAAAATGGTCTCACTCACAGAAAAACAACTAGAGGGTTTCTATTCCCACCATTTTATATGCTTTAAAGCTCAACTCATGTAAATGTTCTAGAATCTGAATGGTTACCCTGATTGCTTGACATTTGGTGTGCCTCATGGGGGTGCAAAGAGGCATTAGTGATCCAAATTTGGGATTCTTTGACTGAAATGTTCCTGAATTACACTACCCCTCCCCCTCCAAAAAAAACCACCCAGTTTCCTTTAGTTGCCTTGTACTGTAAAACTGAGAGGTTCTAATGACTGGATGAATCACAGGCCCTGTTCTCACCCTTTAATTAACAGAACTAAGGATAAATTAATCACAAGCCCCCATCTAAGACAAAAGGAGTTTGGGACTGAGCGGATGGAGGTTGCTGCAATTTGTGAATCACAGGTGACAGTTTCATTTTGCGGGGACTGTAATCAAAGTATTTTGGGGGAAACACTAGAGATGTGAAAGCTTCCTGAGAGGGGAGGAGCGTTAGGGGATGGAGTAGTGGGTGGGTGGGGGGGAGGCTACTGTGAGGGAGATAACTGGGGATGGGTGGCAGGGGAGACAAGTGAGGTTGGGGGCTCAGGTGAGGGATACATAGCACCCCCAGGTCTGCCACTGCACCTCAACTACCCTGTACCTCAAACTTCCTGCATCCCCCAGCTCTACAAGTGCACCCCAAGCACCCTGCACCCTAATCTTTCTGCACCCCTGTAACACAGGAACCTCTTGGTGCCAACTGGCAGAGGGCCCCGGAGGTGCATGGGGGTCTACAGGAATCCTTTGGGTCAGATGTATGCATTCTAAGTGTATCTAAGGGTGGTGTTTGAGATCTCTACGAAGAACCAACAGCTTACTGGTTATTATAATCACTGTGAAGCATAAGCACAGATGATATTTAAGAAATTATGCCTCTGTACTTAAAATTATGTTCTTAAGGTATGTGAGTTAAGGTAGGTCACCAGAAGGTGATAAATATGCTCCTATCAGATAGGAGGAAGAGACGCTTATTTCTCTCTGGCTGGTCATATGTGCATTGTCTGCTTCAAGACAGAGGCCTATCTGCAAACTGCGAAATCCACAAGAAAGAGGCACGTAGGAAAAAAATAACCAGCCAGGGGCCATTCTGTTTCTGAGTAAATACAATGGTTTTGGGGGAGTATAACTGGGGGCATAAGGAGATACCATGGATCTTTTCCATTGAGGGAGCAAGCTAAAGTGGCTTGTCTCGTGAACGGAAGGTCACAGCCAAGCCTGGCTGTAATACGTTGGAAGGATTTTGAGTGAGCTTTACCCTATGAGACTTGGCAGTAACTAGTAACTTGGCAAATTCACATGCAACCAAGAAAAAATATTTCTTACCCAGTTCTAGATAATACTAATATTTAGCTCTTTTCCTCTTCAACATGCTTTACAAAATGAAAGAATAAATCTCACAACACCCCCATAAAGCAAGCAAGGCCATTTGTCCTAATGTGCTGCATTGAAAACAAGTATGTGGCACTGACCCTGGAATTATGCAGCATTGGTCCTACAAACTCTCTCCCCCTCATTGCCCCCATTCCAATCAGTATGGCATCCCTTGTGTTACTTATTTTTATAATAAATTCCTATTATTTTACTCCTCCCCATTTTCAGCTTTCAGGATGCTGCAGAGACTTCTGTTGAAACCTCAGATACAACAACAGGAGGTGGAATACCCTTGTCCACGGAGACTGACATAGAAGAGCTTATGCAACCAATAACTGAGGTGAGTGAGGAGGAGGGGGTTGTGGATAGGACTGGACAGCCAACTGCATCCATCCTTCAACCAGCCAGAGACAGGCAGCTAGACAATCCTTTGGGAGGTGAGTTGTGAGTGAGAAGTGAGTAATGGACAATAGACATACAGACACTAGGGATCAGGTGAGCAATGTGACATTTATTAGATTATGGGGCCTTTGCATCAATCAGTGTTAGCAGACTAGAGAGTGACATCACCATGTGCTTAGTAGGACATGGGGGCGGCGAGGAGTGGCTGCTTTTTTGGATAGTTGCCACCGTGTTAAGACATATTGACAGTGGCAGATGCAGAACAGTCAGGCTGTTCCTCCTCTTTACAGAAGGCAGGACATCTTGCTAGCCTATGGGTAACAGTAGAAAATTATTTAGATTTAGGGGAGTGAGTTTTCTGAGCAGACTTAAGAGGAGCAGGGGCGGGCAGGCGGGTGTTGATAGAAAGGCATCTCCTGTTTGCTTTTGTGGGAGTATCATGACTGAGTTTGGTTTAGGTTTTGCCCACCGACTACATAGCCACACGTCTCCCGGCCGTTGCATGCTATCCCCAGCCTCTGTGGTTACTCCCTGTTCATGACACTGACTGCAGAACAGATGAGGTGGGTGAAGTAATATATATTATTGGGCTAACTTCTACTGGTGAAAGAGACAAGCTTTTGAGCTTACTCAGAGCTCTTCTTCACAGAAATGGGCCCCACAAAGTTACCTCACACACCTTGTCTCTCTAATATCCTGGGACCACCGCAACTACACCACCACTGCAGATAACCTCAGAACTGACAGCTGTTTAGACACAAAAAAACTTATGCTCTAATAAAATGGTTATGGACTGTTTCTTTAGCTGCCTTTTTCAAAGAAAGCCATTTTGAATACAGGTTTCAGAGTAACAGCCGTGTTAGTCTGTATTCTGCATCCGATGAAGTGAGCTGTAGCTCACGAAAGCTCATGCTCAAATAAATTGGTTAGTCTCTAAGGTGCCACAAGTACTCCTTTTCTTTATTTTGAATACATTATCCCCATAGTACCCATAATGGGGGTGTACTGGCCCTTTAAGATTAAAGAGAGCCGGAAGACCCCATTCCAGGTGTTGGAATAAACAAAGTCCCAGAAAATGGCCTGGTAACTGAAGAGAGGACACAGTCCTGGGGAATCAGGAATTGGTTTGGGGATGGGGGGAGGGGGCGGTGGCAAGACACTATTCCTTTAAGGATCTGGGATCAGGAGCCCCATAGTGCAAGGTAAGGCAGGGCTCCCCTCTCTTCCAGGCAGTTGGGAGGAGCTCTCTGGAGGAGGGCAATATATAGAATGCCTTCTGTCTCAGAAGAAGGGAAGGATATCAATTCTTCTGGGTTAAGCCATATATCCCAGCCTCTGAGAGATACTATAAACGTCAAAGGTTTGGGCATTTGGTGGCTGTCTGTAAGGGGAAAAGAAGGTGAGGTAAACATAGAGGAGAACTCTCCTATGGAAAGAATGGAACTAAAATGCAGCAATTGTGGGGAAAAACAAGTGTGGCATACAAAGGCTGTGTGGCACTAGAATGAGCTAGAGAGATACAGAAAATTAAAACTATCCCTCAAATATCCTATGCAGAAGATACCAAAAGACATTCACAGTAGAAAGTGGAGAAGGAGGAAAACACCAGTAAGGAAAAATAGCTACTGGTACAACAAAACACAGTTCAAGGGAAGATAATATAAGGGGAATAGAAGACAATGTACTGCTTATAGACAAAGAAATGTATAGCATTTATGATAGAAGTGATTAATTGCATTTTATAGACACAGAAGAAGGCTGAAAGGATAAAAATTACAACGTGGCAGAAAAGTATTTACATATAGACAATCTCTTGCTAGACCACATTCATGCAATTTTAAATGAAGGTACTATGTAGTTTAAACAACGTAGTTCTAACAATTTTTTGCTGGAATACACATAGTTTAATAACACATGGCCAGAAATTAAAGAAAACTGTTTTTGAAATGGAAAACAAACCTGATGCGATATGTGCATAAGACACATGGTTAGTGAGAAGACTTATTTCCGGAACACGATGTAATCAGATGTGACAGAGACATAATATGAGGAGGAGGTGTCTGTATATTTATAAAGAAAGGTCTTCGTTACATTGAAATAGTCGTACAGAACTTACATTTTGAGTACAACTGTTGAGATTCCTTTGCAGAATAATAATACCTTGAAATGAATCTATAATATTTACAACCCATGTAAAAAAAACTAGACAATCTACAACTGGCAGTGTTAGTTAAGGGTTTCAAAAACCCATGTAGTATTTGTTGAGACCTTAATAGCTATAATTGTAACCCTTCTGCCAGGTGGAGCGAGCAGCAGCCAGGGCCGAGTTCAATATCTAGGGCTTCCTTTTCAACAATATAACACAAAACCAGCCCAAGCCCCCACCCCATAACCTGGGAAAATGACACACCACCCCTGGGCGCCTCTGAGAGGCAATACTTCCCCTCTCACAAGCACAGAGTCTGAGTGTAGAAAATAAACTTTTAATGAAAGGAGAGAAGCCACCCGACATTAATTAGGGAAAATGCTGCAAGCAGGATTCATAAACGTAAAACTGTGAGCAGGATGTCCACCCCAGAGCGCATGGGGCAGAGTCTTCTACCTCATGATCCTGAGTTCTACAACCAAAAGTTCCTGTACAGTGCCCCCCCTCTGCTCCCTCACCGTACCCCACTCACGGTGGTTGTCCTTGGTCAGTGAGGATCCAGGATTCAGAGGTGCATCTGTGTGAGTTCACCTCCCACCTAACGAAGGGGGCTCCTGGCTTGCTCCACCATCTTAGCACTTGCTCTCGCTGGCCACCCCGCCAGGCACTGTTCCTCACTGCCCCGCCAGCTCACCGCCTCCCGCGGGCCGACTGCTCACCACTTTCACCAGCCGCTTCCGCCAGTCACCTTCTGGAAAGTAATGGAGAATTATCCAGTTTTCCTGGCAGCGTGTTCTAATTGTGTGTTCCTTCTGTTCTACAGCACCCCTTTGGTTCTAGAAATCTGCTTTCTCTCTCCTAAATCATAGTAATGCACCTGTGTGTCTTTCCACCTTTCATCAATATCTTATTCTGGTAAGCTCACCTTTTGCAGAAACACCTTTAATGGGTGTGGTGGGCTGTGCAGAACTGTGCATGTATATAAATGTATGTAAATACATACATAAATACATCTTGCCCTCTTCTTGTTCAGGTAAGTAATCATCTTTAAGTAATCATCTGTGTGTAAATCACTGCGTATATGCATGTGTGTACATTTATAACATAGAAATCTAAGAGAAAATACCAAGAAATCTGAATCTTTCTATGTTTATATGACTGAGTGTGAATTATCAATACAGCACATGCTCCTACAAACCAGAAAAACAAATCTGAAAAACAGCAATATTGCTTTAAACCATGCTATAAGTAGACAGCGTGAGCCTCTGATAAGAATGTGCATCTGTGCATATCCAAGCAATTGAACCCATCAATGAGAGCTGAAGATACTCAGCAACTTGAAAAACAGAACACTTCTATTTAGGAGATTAAACAATAAGATCTAGGCTCTTCAGACACCAGCTCTGAAATGTTTGGCATGTGTTCACCTTTATGAAGGTGGCTCTTTGTATGAATGAGTCTGATTCAGCTCCTGGTGTTCAAGCTATGACTGCAATGCATTACCATGTGTATATTCAACACCTCTGAAGTTGCAAAGGGTGAATGGTACTGCAGTAAAATGAGCCTCGTGCAGAGGAGGTGAAGCGTAGATTATGTAATGAGCTCACACATCTGCAGCCATGCAGGGACTGTTCCTCAGGGTCAGGTAGCCAAATATGAATAGTGTCACTTCAGATCTACATTGGGAAAGGTTGCCAGGTTAGTTATGCTGGTAGAGCTGTACCATCAAACCCTCCAAGTGTAGATGCAGCTTATACCAACAAAGAAGTGCTTTTATGAGTGTAGCTTATACCAGTCCCTTAAGCAAAAATAAGCTATGCCAGTATAACTGCATCTACACTAGGGCTTTTGCTGGTATAGATATGTCATTTAAAAAAATCACACCCCTAACCAACACTACTGTATCAGCAATATTTTCTAGTACAGACCTGAACTGAGTGGCTGGGGCAAGAAAGAGTTTATTAAGGCAAAGGATACATGATTGTAACACTGGTAGAACTTGGCAAATAATGGATTTTTTTTGGTTGTCTGGCAATTCTGAAAAATCCAAAAATAAATTCATTTAGCATGAACCCCTCAACAATTTTTACAAAGTCCTTGGCATATCGAAAAGTTAAAACCAAAATGATTTGTTCAGCCTGAAGCAAAATATTTTTTATTTCAAGCATTTTTAAAATGTTTTGATTGCTTTTTATTAAAGGAAATCTTTCAATAAAAGTTGTTTGGAACAAAAAAATTTCAACATTTCATGTTGAAAATGTCAAAATGAAACACTGACTTTTTTTCAGAATCTTTTTGTCTGAAACAATTTGGCAAAACTGACATGAATTTGTGAAACATTTCACTGTTGCCAAAAAAAAGTTTGGCGCTAAAGACTTTTGCCCACCTCTAGTCACTGGCTCCATCCTGGCAGCTGGCATTGAGTTTTTTGTGTCTGCATATATAGCTCTGTTTGATTTTGTGTGTCAGCATGGCTTTGTCTGTCTTTGCATGTCATGCATGCCTGTGCGTGGGGATTTGTACTCCAGTTTGCCTCCGTATTAGGATAGGCACTTCTCTGTGTACATTTGTCTATCAGTGCCAGTTACTGGACTTGATGAAATTACTGGGTGAAATACAATGCTCAGGGTTATACAGAGGGTCAGATGAGATTATCATAATGGTTCCTTCGGACTTTAAAATATGTGAATCTATATTCATATACAGCTTTGTGGGTATTTATCCAAATTGGTGTGTCTCTGTGTGTATGTGCCTGTCTGGTCATATATCATTTAGGGGGGAGGGGTGCACGTGCCCGGGGTAGGGGTGTTGTTTTTGTTTTTTAATGTTTTTTTTTTAAGTTGAATTTTTATTTATTAGGCAGACAGTACAAAGAGATTCACTTAGATTTCTGACTCTGTGCTTGTGCCTTCAACACTTTCACAACAATCTTCTGCTCCTCAATAAGGAAAGTTCGTTTGATTCTGTCACGGACACATTTAGCACACATGGAACCGCCATAGGCTCTGCTAACATGCTTCTTTGTTTTTGACAACCTCATAAGGACCTTGGGGCACACAGCACAAACACCGCGAGGTCTTCCTGGACATACACCACATGCAGACTTTGGTGCCTTGCCAACTTTCTTCAACAATCCTGTTACCTAGTGTCCGGGACAGCCTGGTCTTGTTAGAGGCTGTTGCTAGGTTTTGTCCAAGGCCTGGATTTCTTTTCTGGCTCTGTTCAGATTTTCTTCTCAAGTGCCTGACACTTAATGTAAGGGGACTGTTGCCCCGTTACTAGCATTCAGTGGGGGTGTTTTAGTTGCTAGCTCCCAATACTAAAAGGGGGAAGGGTCGATGGGGAATCAGGACCCTGAGACTGCCAGTCCCAAGGAGCAATGGGGAGCGGCCAATGCTCCATGTCAGCCTGAATGACAGGGTGGACAGGCTAATCAGGGGGTCAGGAGGTCAGGGAGGTCCCATCCTCCGTGTGAGCTGGAATTGTCTGGGTCAGACAGAGTGGGGCTGAGCTAAGGAGAAAGCAGGGGCCCAAGATGAGCTGGGGAGCAGAGCTGGGCCAGATCCAGAGGGACCAGAAAAGCAGCCCAGAGAGAGCAGACCCTGTCCTGGGAGCAGAGCTGCAGCCCCAAAGCCAGAGGCACAGCCCAGAGAGAGCAGACTTGCCCTGGGAGCAGAGCTGCAGCAACCAGAGCCAGAGGGGCCAGAAGAGCAGCCCACGAAGCAGGTCAGTGCTGGGAGCAGAATCACAGAAGCAGCCTGCAGAGCAGACCTGTCCTGGGAGGAGAGCTGTAGCAACCAGAGCCAGAGGGGCCAAAGAAGGAGCCCAGGAAGCTGGAGGCAGAGCAACAGCCGTGCTGAGGCAGAGTGGAGCTGGAGCTAAGACAAAGTGGAGCTGGAGCTGGGGCTGGAGCAGTCCAGAGCTGGGTGTCGTGAGCAGCTGGGGAGAGCGAGGAGGGACCCTGGACAGTGGGCCCAGCACAGGGAGACGCCTCAGCCAGGAGGCTCTGCAGGCCAGATTCGGAGGGGGATTGGTAATCCTGACAGGGCGGTGGCAACGCTGGGAAGAAGGGCCCTGCCACCTACAGCCTGAGAGCGTGTGGCCACCACCAGAGCGAGTGTCCAACCCACAGCATCCCTGCAGCACAGCCAGGGCCTGAGAAGGAGATCTGGGACTTACAAGGAACAGACTGTGAACTGCCCTGACGTTCCAGAGACATTGTTTGTGATCTTCCCTGCCACAGAGTGGGGTGATGTGTTTCCTTTAACCTTTCCCATTTTCCCTTATTCTTTTAAAAATTAATTGTTGATTAAATAACTTGCATTCTTCAAAATTGTATGTAATGATCAGTGGGTCAGAGAAGTGCCCAGTGCAGAGAGAGTACCGTGGAGTGGGGACACCCTAGCCCCTGTCCTAGGTGACCACAGCAGGGTTGGGTGTCGAGCCCCCCAGGAATCCTGGGCCCAGCCTTGTTGGGGTTACGAGGACTCTGCCAGACAGGAGAGTGGAAGGGGGGTCCTCAAGGGCAGGGAGGACACTGGGTAAAGGAAGTGGGAGCGAGGACTCAGATCATTTTGCTAGCCCACTTCACCGGGGTAGTGCAGAAGCCAGGAAAGTTCCCCACAATAGCGGGACTATTCCCCCGCTTACATTAAGGATAAATTTTCAGTGCAAAGTGCAGCAATTTAATTAGGTGACTCCCAGGAGTCACCCAGCCAAATCCCCACACACCAAGCAGAAAATGTGTCTTTCTTTTCTTACTCTCCAAACCAGGCAAAGAAGAATTGAGCTGAGAAATCATGAGCCAGATTAAATATATATTATAGAAGAACGGAAAATATATGATCCAAAATGGTATGTGCAGAGCTACAGAGATGAATTCGGAAAGTGCTAAACTGAACCAGTCTGAGCTTTGATGAGCCAGGCTGGAGTATGTATCATGCTCTCGTGTTGAATGTGTTTTGCTGAGCCAATTTTAACTGGAATATACTTTGCTAAGTTGTGCTAATCTGAGCCAGGACATTATGAAATGAGCTATCCTGGGTTGGGCAGAAGATCAGTGGATTTGAAGTGAACTAAAATAAACTGTGCTGAATGTAGACACAAACTAAGATGGGATGTTCTGAGATGATTCATACTGAAAAGTGCAGAGCTGCATTGAAGTGAACTAGATATGTTAAGAAAACATGAGAAGAGATTTCCTTCAGTAGACCTGATCCACCATACAGATGCCAAGGAAAACACTAGAGAGGCAAGGTGGATTTTATTGGACCAACTTCTGTTGGTGAAAGAGACAAGCTTTCGAGCTACATAGAGCTCTTCTTCAGGCCACCAACAGAAGTTGGTCCAATAAAAGATATTACCTCATCTACCTTGTCTCCCTAAAATCCTAGGACCAACACGGCTACAACACTGCAAACAAAAAAGGAAAACAGTGTTCCTTACACCTCCCTAAAGAATCAGCAAACATTCAGAGCTTGATCCTGTACCATTGAGGACAATGGAAACTTTGAAACTCACTTCAGTAGGAGCAGAATGGAGCCCTTGATGCTTCAGGACTTTCTAACCAGGAATCTTAGAGATTCTTTTCATGAAGAGAAATGAGCATGGAATGTAGTGTTTACTTCTCTCACAGTAAACTCTAGCTCTTGAGGTACGAAAAGGAGACCTGCCAGGTTGCTTATTTGTAAAAGGCACCTGCATGTGGTGGTGGTGGTAGTGGAGGCGAGAGAGGAGGTAGGAAAATATGGA